ATGAGCCTTGTGTATCTTCCTTGGTGGTGGCCGCGGTTTGTTTTTTGGTGTGTTTCTCTTTCTTCACTACGTGATACTGCAAAGATCGATGTCCATCCCTCGATATTAGTGGCTGTGCCATTGAGGTGGTGCGACGTGCACATGGTAATATGGAGCCTGTCAAGGGAGACAGGTCGTTGCGAGGTGGGTGCTGTAGACAGTCTGAATGTTAGTGTCTCAGATGGACGACTTGGAATTAAAGAAGGACATGAAGCACTTCCTCGATTGGTTGCAAGGGCGAGACGCGTCAATTTGTGAGTATCAAGATCAAACACTGAATATTTTCAACTGACTGTTCCAACTCCGGAGGAGATCAGCGCCATGATCTGTACAAAGATGAAGGAGACGGCAGAGGCCTATCTCGGCGAGAAGGTCACCCACGCAGGTAGTAACGGTCCCTGCATGTAAGCCTATAACATTGATTTCACCATCCCTCGCTTATGAATATTGTTTCAAGACTTCAATGACGTCCAGCGTTAAGCTATGAAAGATGCCGGAACGATTGCTGGGTTAAAGATTCTCCGTATCATCAACGAGCCCACTGCTGCCGCTATCGCCTTGGTCTTAACAAGAAGGGCGGGGAGTCCCAAATTATTGTCTATGACCTTGGAGGAGGAACTTTTGATGTCTCCTTGCTTTCGATTGACGACGGTGTCTTCGAGGTCTTGGCAACTGCTGGTGACACGCACCTTGGTGGTGAGGATTTCGATAAGCGCGTCATCGACCATCTTGTCAAACAATACAAGAAGAAGACCGGCACTGATGTCACCAGCAACCTCCGCGCCATGGGCAAGCTGAAGCGCGAGGTTGAGAAGGCCAAGCGCACGATGTCCAGCCAACAGTCGACCCTCATTGAAATAGAGTCCTTCGCAGACGGCAACGACTTTTCGGAGACCCTCACTCGCGCGAAGTTTGAGGAGCTTAACATGGATCTTTTCCGCAAGACCATGAAGCCCGTCGAGCAGGTACTCAAGGATGCGAAGATCAACAAAGAGAACATCGATGAGGTCAGGCGTTTAGCATCCCTTATTTACACTGTCTAACAGGGTTACAGGTTGTCCTTGTTGGTGGTTCGACTCGCATTCCCAAGGTTCAACAGCTCCTGAAGGAGTATTTTGGCAAAGAAGCGTCGAAGGGATCAACTCCGATGAGGCTGTCGCTTATGGTGCCGCTGTCCTGGGCGGTATCCTCTCTGGCGAAGAGGGCACCTTCGGAGGTGGTCTTGGTGGATGTCTGTCCTTTGACACTTGGTATCGAGACCACGGGTGGTGTTTTCACGAAGCTCATTCCCCGCAACACTGTTATTCCCACACGCAAGTCACAGATGTCAGTGTCCATGTTCCCGCGCATCAATGCATCATACTGACAATCTGCAAAGCTTCTCAACGGCAGCTGACAACCAGCCCACTGTCCTAATCCAGGTCTTTGAGGGCGAGCGCTCGTTGACCAAGGACAGCAACCTACTGGGCAAGTTCGAACTCTCGAGCATTCCCCCTGCTTCTCGTGGTGTTCCTCAGATCGAGGTCACCTTTGGTATCGAGTTCACTGGCAACAATTGATTAATGTTGGTCATTCCGGATTCGTGGGTGTCATCAACTTGGATAGTCTGTGCCAGCGCTGCGCCCGCTAAGTTGGCAAACCAAAGGTCGGAAGAGGGGTGGCGGAAAGAAGCTTTTGCCACCTGATACTCTGGAGGGCCTTGGCATTGGCTCAGCTGCAGCATCGGTCGTTGGAGACGTTACGCCTTCGGCATCTAGGCCTGTAACTCCTGCACTCACTGCAACTTCTGTCGTGTACGAATTAGACGAAATCGTTCCTCCTCTCAAGCGCGATAAAAAGGTTGTGATGAAAATGCTATGGCCAAACGCTGAAGCATTTAGAGGAGGCTCAGAAGAAAGTTTGGACAACATTGCTCGGAGAGACGTTGCTAAGGTATGGACAAATTTTTCATTACGTGGTGTTTGCGTTCTCATCTCATTGCACAGGTGTATAAGTATGCCGCGATGGGCTACCAAGCCCGTCAAGGTCAGCATAAGCGCTTGGCCACACTATCACCCATTCAAGCTTGTCGGCCTTTCACAAGGACTGCAAAAGTTCATTTAGATGTTCAAGCAAAGGGCAGACACCTGATGCGTGAGATGCTAGTCTTCTGGAAGAAGAATGAGCGGGAAGAGAGAGATTTCCGAAAATGCGAGCAAGGAAGCGAAGAGAGGCTATTGATAGAGCGAAGGTCGAGGAAGAAAAGGAAGCCACGCGCCAAGCACGCAAACTTGAGTTCTTGATCAGCCAAACTGAGTTGTACAGCCATTTCGTCAGTAACAAGCTCAAGAGTGAGTCCTTGCAAGGAGATATTCCTGAAATTTCGGCGCCTGTGGGTGCTACTCTTGAAGATGTTGACCCATCAGTACTTCAAGAGATTGGCTTTGATGACGGTTAGTTTCCTATACCTGTATTTTGACGACTCGGAGGCTGAACTTGATGATTAGAGGACCAAACCAACCTTCACCGACATGCGCGGCATAACGCTCAGGAAGCTATCGCTCTAGCCAGACAAAGGGCTCAACAGTTTGACACTCAGGCTGCACTCGATAGGAAAACGAACGAGGCTTTGAAACTTGCCAAAGCTCAGGCTCACATCAGGGACGATGACGAGTCGGGGCTCTCAGGCGCTTCGAATACGCCCTTGGTTGACTGTAAGTTCTTCCTGGATACTCAGGCTAAAGAGGTTAACAACGGTCTACACACAGTGGACTCCGACGAGCTCAACTTCCAGAATCCGACGTCACTCACTGGAGAACTTAAGATCAAGCAACCGAATATCCTCATGGCGCAGCTGAAGGAGTACCAACTCAAAGGTCTGAATTGGCTTGCTACTTTGTATGAACAGGGTATCATTGGTATTCTCGCTGACGAGATGGGTCTTGGGAAGGTGAGATTGATTAGAATGCCACACAGCTCACCTTACCCTCCATGCACCTCAGACTGTGCAATCGATACCTCTCCTTGCCTACCCTGCCGAGGTACACGACATATGGGGACCATTTTTGGTTGTCGCACCAGCCTCTACATTGCACAACTGGCAACAGGAGATTACTCGCTTTCTGCCTGGTCTGAAAGCCCTGTCTTATTGGGGGAACGTCAAAGACCGAACCACCTTGCGCAAGTTCTGGAGCAAAAAAGGGATCAGCTATGACAAGGACACACCGTTTCATGTCCTGATTACAAGCTACCAGCTGGTCAGTTGCAGTTGCATAATGTTTCGAGCTGTGCTAATTTCTGTATAAAGTTACTCAAGACCAGCAGTACTTCCAGCGCGTGAAATGGCAACTCTAGTGTACGGTGGAAAACATTGCCGAGATTCCAATGTCGCAATCGTTTGCTTTTGACCGGCACACCAATCCAAAACTCCATGCAAGGCGAGTAAGATAGGGCAGCAGCGTCAGCAGTTGCTAACCTCCACATAGAGCTCTGGGCATTGCTCCACTTCATCATCCCAGTCTTTTTGACTCGCACGATGAGTTCAATGAGTAGTTCTCCAAGGATATCGAGAACGCTGCAGAGAATAGGGCAGCAAGCTCAATGAACGTCAACTACGGCGGTTGCGCACGATTTTGAAGCCTTTCATGTTACGGCGAGTCAAGCGACATGTGCAAAACGAGTTGAGCGAGAAGGTTTTATTTAATTTACGCACGGAGAAATGATCACTCACATATTATCTTCAACAGATCGAGGTCGATCATTATGTTGATCTGTCATCCCGCCAACGTACTCTCTACCGTGCACTTCTGGCGAATGTATTTGTGGTAGATCTATTAGAGAAGGCCTCTGACATAGGGGATGCTGATTCTGCACGATCGTTAATAAACCTCATGATGCAGTTCCGGAAGGTGACTAAGATTTGGTCTTATCATTTCTAAATATTGACTTGCTCCATTACAGGTTTGCAACCACCCCGAGCCCTTTGAACGTGCAGATGTGGTAGCTCCCTTCTCTTTATCTCGCTTTGGTCAATCTGGTCCTCTGAACCGCGAAGACAATTTTATTGCCCTTCCTTACTCAACTCACAACCCCATCGAAAACCAAATTCCGGCGTTATTCCACCAAGATGGTGGGCTTATAGATGTTCCATGTGAAAAGCCTGGATTGCGTGTGCGATCGGACTGCACGAGTGCCCTCTTCAATATCTGGTCAACGGGGTGGATATACCGTTCGACGCTCGATGATGTTGAAGGTGTGTGATGCTGCTCGAATGGCCGTCCCTTGGATGTAACACGTTATAGGTTCACCTGCCTTCGCATTTCTTCGACTCCTGAACACCACTCCGAGTGACGTCCATAGCTTTAAGGTATCTTCCTTCATGCGCAATTGGCTTCGGGCACTTGAGGAAGAGAATAGGATTGTTGAGGACAGGGATTTCATAGTAAGCTACCCATGATTATTTTTCCAATTTCCGATCAACCGTTTCATAGGGAAGCGGAATTTGCTGCTCATGCAGGCGCACATCCGTTCAGCATAAGCCCCCGTCTGTCTTTGAGCCTGGATACCGCTGAAGGCCTGCCACATGTTCTTGATATATCTTCAACAGCCTGGCAGGCGTCGAATCTACGTCGACCAACCTTGAAGTGGTTTGTGCCGCCGGCTGTAGCACCTCTGATCTTTCTTCACTGCACAGATCGGACATTCATAGAGCATCAAGTACAGTTGCTAGAGGCACCGATGGAATCATTGGCAATATACGGGCTCCCTCAGCACTTGCGGGATTCGCCTACCATTGATCAGGCGTACCACACCCTAGTTCCTGCTTTGTCTTCGGCAGGACTTGTCGGAAGTTCCCCTGCAAGCCAGCTACCATCTTCAAGCATGCAAATACCAGAAGCAAATAGACTGATCTATGACTCTGCTAAACTCGCTCGGTTAGACGCCCTCTTTCAGGAGCTCAAGGCGGGCGACCATCGTATCTTGATATATTTCCAAATGACTCGTATGATGGACCTTATGGAGGAATATCTGGTCTACCGCCAGTACAAGTATTTACGTCTCGATGGCTCATCGAAGTTGGAAGATCGACGAAATATGGCGATGGATTGGCAGACATGGTCAGTGCTCGACTTAGGTTGAATGTACTCGACTCTGATACATGTTCTCTAGCCCGGAGTCCCCGGACATCTTCATATATATCCTAAGCACACGTGCAGGTGGCCTCGGAATCAACTTGACATCAGCAGATACTGTCATCTTCTACGATCACGACTGGAATCCGTCAAACGATGCACAGGCCATGGATCGCACTCATCGTCTTGGACTCTTGGTCAGACGCGCCAAGTGACTGTCTATCGCCTGATCACGAAAGGCACGATCGACGAGCGTATTATTCAGTTAGCTCGTGTCAAGAAAGATGTTAGCTATTTGTATTCCTGTAATGCAGGACGTTCAATCGATGTTTCTCCAGGTGCAAGATATTGTGGTCGGCAACAAAAACTTCACATACGTCACGAAACCCACCGAAATTGTTCAGCTTCATTCCCACAATCTGCTCCTGGTTCATCTGCTGGGGATTTTGGGGTTGGAACGTCAACTCCAGTGCGATTGAGGACCTTGTTTGGATCGCACAGTCTCCACCGCCGCTCGACCACTGCGGCCTCAGTTTCATCATCTCCAGGTAGCTAGGAGGGAGGATTTACTCCACGGACTGTGCGCATGCGCCGCAACCCTTTTTTGTCACGACTCACCCCCATGACACCGGATACTGGCCTGCAGAGTTCATGATCATCAACCCCATACCGGATTGCCATTGACTGACTTCAATTATTGTACAACTATTCTTCGCCGCACATCTTATCATACCAGCGTCAATTCATACACTCCCTTTTATTTCATTCTTATTCATTGTCTCATGTCGCTGTGGTCGTCATGTACCACGACATACATAAGAATACATTGATCACAAAGGCGTTGACTCGTCAAGTGCACGTGATCAGACCAGCTCAGTCACGTGTGGACGGGCCGGCGCGCCCTGTTGGCTTCGTTTACTTGTGGTCCTTTCATCATCTCTCCATGAATATCTCTTAATCCATGGATTTAAACAGCTCCCCTCGTAAACAGACTCCATTAGCACGTGGGGACGAGACACCTCGTAAACTTTCTACTCCATCTCTAACCAGACGTGTCTTCTGTTGCGGGGTTGTGGTTGAGGGATGTTATAGTGGCAGGAGGTTGCCCGAAGGTGAGCGGTGGTGATGAAGCCTGAAGATTACAATTTGATTTGTACAGACGTCCAAGAGCTAGTTCTATAGGAGACCCCTGGTTGAGTCAGAATGATAGCCACATTCTGCCTTCCGCAACAGACACATCGTTCTCAGAACACAACCAGCCAGTGAGTAGTACCTGCTAACATTTGTCTGCAAAGGCGAGACGCTTCGCTTGCTCACACTCAGATTTGGTCGTTCTCCTTCGTGTCTTAGGATGGATTGCAACGTAAACGCGCGCTTACAGATTCAACGGGGAGCTTCCTGAAAGCTTATCGAGTCTTTCAAGCGAGGCTGGATGGCGCATGAAGAGTGTGCTAAAGTAGTACCTGAGACTTGGGTGGATGGGGTTGAGACGGAGATGTTCATGGAGAAAAAGGGTATTTGGTGTGGATGCGATCGTGAGAGATCGGTGGAATCTGGTATGTTCCAACATACACCTCACACGTTTAGCTAACCTTCGCGTATAGAAATGTGCTGTTTGTTCAAAGGCACGACAGAAGGCCCCTGGTGCACCCATCCAGTGCACTAAAGGCAAATGTGCGAAATCCTTTCATGTCGGCTGTGCGAGAGATGGAGGGATCAGCGGCATTGTTTACTCGATACTGCGCGAGGTTGAGAAGGAGGTGATCCTAGTCTACCCGTCGTTCAAAGCTGGTGTCATTGGTCCTTCTGGTTTCCCCACGTTCACCGTCAATCACTTCAACGGCCCCGTCGCCTGCTCTGCAGAGGGCTTCTTGGACCGTAACTTCGATGCTCCCAACTTTTATTTCGTCTCTCTTTTCGGTGGCAACACAAGGCCACCCCAAGACACTTCTCTTCGGGACACTAGGCCACACCTGGACTTCAAGCTACGATGAGCAGTTGTAAGTTCAAAGTCTATTAGTCGACTCAGTGGTACTGACTGTAGTTGCTTACATTCCAGTTTCTGAATCTCGTCCGGCCATTCCTTCCACTCCTGCCAGAGGTTTCTTCGCCAGATTGTAAAGTATGTGCTATACATACCTTTGTAGGTCATGACATGCAAAACTCATCAAGTTCTTTCGTTTTCAAGTTCCTTTCAACCAAAAGCTGCTATGGATCGCCGTTACGCTACTCATTGGCTTGGTCTGCCGTCAAGTACCACTGTATGGCATCATGGCTTCGGATTCCTCTGACCCTATGTGCTGGATGCGTGTCATCCTTGCTTCCAACCTTGGAACCCTCATGGAGCTTGGTATAAGCCCTATCGTTACGTCCGGAACGACTATGCGACTACTGAATTTAATCGAGGTCGACTTCAGCTTGAAGGAAGACCACACGCTGTTGAGACTTGCGCGTTGCGGTGGCCCGGCAAATTGCCAACCTTCCGTCTGTTCCAGACGAAGGCTAGTCACTTTTTCATTTACCAAAGCTTATCTGACGCGGTTTACGCGAATATCACAGTTGTTGCCGTCAAATGCACCCCGTTTAACATCGAAACATTCCGGCAGGAGACTTTGGTGAAGTTTCCGATGTTCACGCCACCGCCATGCAACACGTAAACTTCCTGTCACAATGCAACTCACCCCAGACTTACGTCTAACATATCATCGGGACGACGGCGATCTCCTCGACAACCTCATCAGGCGAGCACTGACTCGCCTGCGCTTAGTGCGCCGTATTGCTGTGGATTGCCATCCGCAGGCACGTGGATTGCCATCCGGAGCACGGACTTCAGCGCAAGTCTCGCAATCCTATCTCGGCAAAGTCAAACTCGAGCTCCAGGACCAGTCCAATACCCTGTCGAGCATCCCAAGAAGTTCCTTTCGGTGCGCGGCGGATGAAAGCAATCAAGGCTAACCAGAAAAACCAGGAACAAGAACAAGACCTCGCGAGTCGGTCTGAAGCTATCAGGATTCATGGGCGGGCCATGAGATCATCGACGTGGGGGCGGATTTGGAGGTGGGCTGGGGCAGGCTAGGTATTTGCTGCCGACTTTCCGTGTATTTTGTTGCTGACGCTCAATCTCAGGGCTGTAAGGGGGGGGGGGGGACTCATCCATTCCGCGGAAGTCTCGCAATCCTACCTCGGGGATGGTCCTCGTGAGCGATACTGCGTGTGGCACGTCCCGCAGATGGATGTTGTTTCGCCTGTGCCAAATGGCTATGGTCGATCGCACGACCCTGCTCGTCTCCGACTCATGACGTGAAAGGTTGTACGGCGGGGGACAGGAAGACAGTAAGTATTTGATTCGAGATGACGGTCACTTTGTACGGTCACTGTTGTACTGTAAGTAAATAGTACCTACGCAATGACAATAACTGGGATATGAGCCGCTCACGATGTGGTTTGGTGAATCCGAAGCCATTGTTAGTGATGTATTCGACAAGGCCCATGCTGCCGCTCCTTGTGTCATTCTCGTTGGAATTCTCGACCCGTTTACCTACATTATTTTAAATATCATCAACATTTTTCTGACGTCTGTATTTTAAATATGATCAATGTTTGAAACAAAGAAATTGTGCTGACCACATTTTAAATACAAACACACTTCTGACGCACTGTGAACTTAATGTATATGCCACCTACAAAGTTAATAGATTTTGTGGCTCTTAGATTTAAAATTTGAGTGCCAGAAATAATTTATTCAAATGCTGGACAAAAGGTAGACTATGTTGACGGACAAAATGATAATCTGAGCTTGATCACAACATTAAATATTATCTGGTTGCAAAATTCAAACTTCGACTAGCATATTTTGGTGACAAAAACATTGGAAAAACGGTGAAAAAAACACCAACCTTTGTGTTGGAACAAAGGATGATAGAAGTTTGGTTATGAGCATGGCACAAAGTCAAAAATTTATCTAGGTTTGTACTGCAGAAAAAGTGTTTGAATTGTTGAAGTATATGTTGATGCAATATTGTGGACGAAATCTGACTCAATATTTAACTTCGATCAATGTTTTTCATCACGAAGAAGTGGATAAAAAGTCCAAATTCTGTCAAACATTTTGATTGCCACAAAATTGTAAAATTTATTTTAACCTTTTTTAGCATTTTTTCAACATTTTATGCTGCGAAAAAGTCATCCATGCTTCCGGTGTATGACATTCCTGCATGTTGCCCGAAGGTCGCCCGGGTCTCGTGGTGACATAGTGGCAAGTGCTATGATCACTTGTGCTCACACTTTCAGCGAATAATCACCACCAGTGCGGTACTAGCACATGTACAAGAAGCGAATCCGGAACGTAACTCCATTCTTCAAGTTGCCTCCTGCAGCAGTCCAGTGCGCGAGTCGGATCTACACCGTTGATGCACTTATCTTATTCCAATTGAGTTGAGCATGTGCCAGATCGCCTCTTCGGAGTCTAGACTTGGAGCTAGCGAGGCCTCAGACGATTCTGAATTTTTCGAGGATGCTTCAGCGTGAAGAAGGCGAAGCCTTGAAATAGAATGTCTTCTTTCAAGGCCTGGCGCCTAGGTCCGAGTCGTCTACGTAATTGCTTTTTTCACTCCATCACGTGATAAAGGGTCTAGTACTTATATAAGCCAGCATAATAACCCCTAAATTTTCGCCATCATCTTCAACCTCACACTACGACACGAGTAGGAGCGAATTGTGCTGGGCATGAACTCCGATGTTCAAACGTTCAAGTTTCTATTTTGCCTGATACTGTAGAGATACGACACTAGCTTCGTCACGTGTAGCACGTGACAAAGTCACACTTAGTGTCACAGCTTCGAATTACCCTGACAGTCACCTGTGACCATATAAAAAATAGCTTCGGAAATTGTGATTTTGTCAAGGCTTCTTGTCTGATTCATATCTTATTATAAAGTTGAGAAGTAACAGGTAGCTAGCTGGGCATTGTTGTTTTTTATATGTTTTTTTGTATGTTTTTTATATGTTTTTCTGTATGTTTTTACCACATGTCACAAATTAGCTTCGGCCCCCAAAAAATTGGTGTGACAGTCACACCAAATAGGTTCGATTCCTTGATGGCTGTGACCTGTGACGAACCTAGTGTCATATCTCTACAGTAGTATTGAGGAAAACAGATCTGCTAAGCGGAACTCTCATGCTACTAGCATCCCTCAAAACAATCAATGGTGTCCCCCCAGCAAAGAGAGCAAAACACAACTACCAACCTTCCCAGCGCCTTAACCATAGGTACAAATAGGATCACAATACGCATGCCCAGGCATGAAGTGTTTTGGCTAGAGGACGGGAGTTATCACTTGAAGTTGGTCCGTGTAGCGATCATGGCTTGTGCGGCACTCGGAGCACTTTGTGACCATTTTCAACAATGAAGGGGAAGAAACTCTGTGTGATACCATCGTTGTTGGCACTCACATTACCATTCTTGTTTGTACCGTTATCTTGCACCTTTGATACTCATCTTCTCGACTTCTTGCACACATGGTCCCTTCCGCACGTTAATCCTCCGGACTCATTACATAATCGTTACCATTCGTATTTGTATAGCGTTGCGCCCTCGATCACCTCAGTACTGTTTCTAACACTACTGAGGTATGTAGCACTTCATATATCTTGGTCTCTCTCATATTGACGTACTCTAGTTCCTCATTAGGTACATATCAATGCTAGTACTATTTCTAACACTACTGAGTTCCTCGTTAGTGTACAGGTTATGAGCCCTGGGCTCTAGATTAGCCCAGAAATTACACAACGCAAGAAACTCGATACTCACGTTTATCTAACGGCTAAACGTTAAACGTAACGAGCCCCCCCATTAAAACGAAATGGGGAAGTTCGACCATATCGCCGAATTGACCGGCTCAGATAATTTTCCAAGTTGGAGACAAGCCGTCGAATTGGCTCTAGCTGGAGAAGGGCTCTGGAATCACTGTAGCACGGGCACCAATCCTCATGATGTTGCAGAATTCGCCAGTGTGTTGCCCACAGCTGCTACTGCAGGCCAGCCCACAGCGGCAGAACTCGTGCTCATGAAAGACTGGATTAAAGAGGATGCTCAGGCAAAGGCGATAATCGGGAGAAGACTCTCACCTGTCGTTCAAAGTATTCTCGGCGAGAAATTGACGGCTCGTCAGCAATGGGAGTTGCTCACGAAGCGCTTCGCCCGTCTCGACGTCACCTCACAGTATGAACTCCGTTCTCAGCTCTTCTCCGAGAGACTCAAAGACCCCGATGACGCCCCCCGCTATCTTGGAGTATTCGAAAATGGACGTCGTAGGTTCGCTGAGATGGGGGTGACCTTCATGGATGGGGAGAGCATTTTCATGTTGCTCAGCGGGCTTCCTGAGACACCACAGTGGGTGGTCTTCCGTAGCCTTGCGATGGCGAAAATGTCGTCAGTCTCCACAACATCCAGCACAACCACAGCTCCTGCGACTCTCACGTTCGAGGACATAGCCACATCCTTCACTGAAGAGGCAAATCGTCAGCACGGAAAACTGAGAATGAATGCACGCCCTGGGTCAGAATACGCCAATGCAGCCACCATTCCCCAGAACTCAAATGAAAGACGAGTGAACACCTCTACTGGAGTGCGTATTCACAAGAACAATCCAAAAGGGGTTGCTTGTGAAAACACTGCTTGCTCTGGACTCCCTCGCTCACTAATGCACGACCTCAACCACTGCATGCAAGCTGGGGGTGGAATGGAGGGCAAGGCCCCTTGGGCTCAATGGGGAGATCGTGCAGGCGGGAAACGCAAAGACGTAGCAGCCGTGTCCGTAGAACCAAAGTCCTCGGCAACTTCCTCCACCACAGAGACATCAGCACTTGCTGCTTCAGAAACAGCCACTCACCATCACGAATGGTCTTGCGCGCTCATCAAGGCAGTCGAAGAAGAATCACTGCCAAGGGAGGAAGACTTAGCTTGCATTGCCAAGCAAGTACTGTCGACCATCCTGGACTCCGGGACAACGTCGACGCTCATCACTGACAGAAGCCTCTTCTGGACCTACAGTACGAGCGACAAAGTCACCGTGAAGACTGCGAATCATGGGAGATTAGCCACCTCTGGGAGAGGAGATTGCGTTGTGGAACTTACCATCGGAGGACGCACACAATGTCTACGGTTGAGCGAATGCCTCCACGCACCGGGAGCGATGATTAACTTGCTATCTGTGGGACGCATGATCAGTAAGGGATGGGCATGTAACCACATATTGCAGTAACATATTTCCGTATTATACGAGTGAACCGATGTGCATAATATCCCGTATGATACGGGCCAGCGGACCATGGGCCGAAGGTAGAAATATTCTCGACTATGACGGATGGGCCGGGAGTGTTATTATTCCCGATGGAGACAGGTGGGCCCATGTGGGGAATATGTAGAGTAGATGAGTGGGCCGATAGACATGAATATTCTATAGACGGATGGGCCGAGGTGGTTGGATATTATGTAGATGGGTGTACCAAGGTAGATGTGTATCAAATAGCCGGGTATGTGAAGGGT